AGCGATGCTATGCTACAAAATCTAGAATGATAGAATACAAGGCTGGGCATTGCCGATTACATTTCTTAAGTAAAAGTAAATAAAGCCGAATAGGAGGATAAATGAAACTGTCAAAACAGTGAATTTTTCAGGTATTAAATTTTTCGATAGGAAAAAGTATGTATATGATGTATAAGAAGAAAAAAGTACCGATTTGTGGAATGCGCCACCTTTCTTCTCTACATTGTGCTACAAAGAACAAGAACAACTTATGACATTTCTATTCGGCAATAGTTCAACTACCTCACCATGAATAATACTTTCTGGCTCAATCCCATCATGCCCTCCTACTTTCTGTTCAATGTTAAATATTCTAAAAACTGCATACAAAATTTAAAGTCTTCATATTTGATTCAAATACTTAAATTTGCCCTTAATCCACAACGTAAAAGAAAACACCAGTCGCAAATTACAATAAACGAAAGGAAAACAAGCTCTTTCAATTGATTTTTAAAATTCACCCACAGCTTTTTGTGAAATCAGCCTAACCCGCTAACTTACTATGTACCTCCGTCATTTGATTTGCCTACTACGCTTTGTATTCAAGACACTTCCGGCGGTAATCAAAGTCTTGACATGTTTACAATACATAATTCAAATTTTAGAATCGGCTTTTGATCAAACAATTGAAGGTGAAGAATATAAAAAGGTAAAGAAGCAGAGTTAAATTCGCATAAAAATAATGAAAACAAAACAAAACAAAAAAAAAAGAAATCAAACAAAAACAATCGATAAACAGAAATAACAATAGAAAAAGCTTTTTTTTCAATGGCGCGTACTTTTCCGACCTTTAACCCTTTCCCAAATTTTTTCTCTTCTTTTTGAACTTTCACATTGTTAACGCTACGAATTTTCTGGCTACGTGAAATGAAAACAAGCAAAGGGGAAAATTGCTTTGTAAAGTGGTTACCAATAATTTTGTTGGCTTTCTTCTTATTTTGTTATGTATATTTGTACATTTTATGTACATATGAAGGTATGCTTTTCTACGGTAGGCAATCATTGTATTGCTTTATTGAACATATGTATGCCTTTCCAACTACATTAAATGAAAACATCAAAGAGTTTAAGGCCGTGTTATTTATTTGCCAATGCTTAAATTCCATTGGGTTAAATTTTTATATAATTTTATAACTATTCCATTAAATAATATCTATTTTTTTTGTAAAGTGGTATAAGTAAACTTTACACAAAAAAGTATACTCACAAAACTAAGAGCTAGCGTTTTTAGTTTTTCGTTCTGCCGTCAGGATTTTTATTTTAAAGGACTTTGAATATTCATAGGTATGATTAGTTCCAAAACTTATTTCAAAAATTCAGCAAAATGTAGAATAACAATATGAGAACCAAATGAAAGAGGAACTTCGTGTAGAATTCCAAAATGCCTTGGGGATAAAGATAACCCTCGCTCGCTTCCCTCCATATTACCGGCACATAGCTCAGCCTTAAATAGTCTAAAAAAATATCGCATTCAGCCATGGCACCACAAGGTGACTAGCCTTCTGGAGCAAGACCGTCTACTCCCGGGTATTTAAACTTTTGATTGCCCATTCCACTTTGGAAGAAGTTATGACGTTTGGCGGGATGCTACTCGCTACACCTCCCCCACTGTCGAGGTCTGTCGAGTCTATGCATCCCGGAGAGTAGGTGTTGTCCAAGTCTTCTAGCGACTTCTCGCTTGAATTGGTCCAGTGCGCGGAACTCTTACGTATAAGGCCAGGTGCGCTTGGAATCATGGTTAGAAGTTTCCTAAGTTTTCTCTAAGATCTCACAGCCGTTCCTGCAGGACCCACCTTCGTACGACTAATCGGGAAGAGAGTTAGGTCGAGAACGTTCCTGGACGTGGGTCCTACATACGATGCGTCGTTCTTGCGGGCCATGTAGTAAGACGCAACAAGCTGCGCCTGTGGACAGATTGTGATCAATATAACTGTGCAATTTTTTCTTTACCATAACTGCCGTTCTTACCTTATTATGCATGTTGGGAATATACCTAGTGCAGTTTTCCGATTTGAGACCAAATACTAGGCTGCCCGAAGCGAGCCAAGATTCCTGGAGATATGGAGATTTATTTGAAGCACCTTAAGCATTATATTTAGGTTCACTCTCAGGGTTGGATGCAGTATCCAGCTCACTCATCTCCACATTGCGTAGGTTGAGAGAGGACTAGGATCTCTTCGATGTCGAGATCCTTCTCTACTTCCCCAGCCTCAAGAGTGTTGTGGTTGTCGTCGGCATGGTTTCGATTTTTTAGGCGTGGATAAACGCTACCAACGCCCCAAGACATCTTGCCGAATCGGGTATATAGGATATATTTGGTCTTCTTTTTTATCTGGAGGATGTAGTGCTGGCCACCCTCATTTGACAATGACATGGCCACGCTCAACACCTTCCAGTCAGCCGTCGGTACGTCGGGGTTTTGTCTTCGCAGTAGGCGCAGCGCATGCTCCGGTTTCACCTCGCGAGAGATGTGTACCTTCGCCTTCGGGATCAATGGAATTTCGCTGCGATCTATCATCTCGAGGGATGCCCCCTCCCATAGGTCTTGGAGGTCTTTCACCGCTCCCTTTACCCATGCTAAGGAGGAATCATCTTTACAACTTATCATTTTGATCCCATTTCCACTGCCTTCAACCTCTCTTGCGTCATCTGTCCGAGCAGGTTACTGAGGTCAATGTGCGCCACGACTAGATATCTCTTGGCAATCACATTGGCCGCCGCCGCTGCCTTGGATCTAGGGGCAACTGTATGACATAACGTTATTGACGTTTGGCCTCGTAGCCTCGTCCCTACATTTCTACTTCTTTAGAAGCTTTGCTGTCTCCTCTTTCACATACCGCTGCTGTTCGCTTGCTGTGTCCGCCGGTGGTAGTTGCTACGTCTCCCACCGACCGTCAGTTGAAAAATATGTTTTGTGCCAAATCACGAGTTCTTTGTAAAAAAAATATACATATATTTTTGTCGGCCTTATTAGCATTGCAGAAATTGCACCGAAGTACCAAGAATTAAAATTCACCACCAAAACAACCCTCCAAGCAAGTCTTGTTTTAATAAACAAATATGTAAGTATGTGCTGAATGTAAAATTGTAATCTATACGAAAATTTGACTTTGGCTCCAACTCCAGTTGCATTATTTTACTTTTATTCCAATTTTATCATAGGCTTTTTTTCAAATTTTTTTTTGCCCAACCCCAGCTGCATTATATTTCTTTTATTCCAATTTTTTCCAATCTCGTAAGTCTACCTAAACCCAAAATTAAGCAAATAATTTACACTCTTAAAATGGCGACACGCGTCTTCTGCTGCTCATTACAATATTGTCGCGGTGTTAATTTCTCGTCTTTGGCGCATACGAAACGACTCGACTCCGTGGAAATTCGGCGTGCT